AAATGTATATAAATTAAATGTACTTAAAAACTAAGAGGGCAAGTCACGGCAAGACCTGTCAAAGAAATAAAAAAAAATTAAAAAAAAAAATTACTATAAATAATAATATACAAATCCATTTCGATCTTGGGATTCTGTAATTGGATTTTGATGGGGTTTGGCTTGTTGGAATTCCCACTCTGTGGGGATCATTTTGGTAGTTAAATCATCAAAATTGGATCAGTAGTTCAAAAGTTATTTATCATTGAAGATTAATATTAAATTTATAATTTGGGCTAAAAAGTTTTTTTTAATTTTGGCCGAAACTTGATAATTCCGGCTGGAATTACACCTGATACTCCAGCTAACCCACCCACTCACCCCAAAATCAGCTAATTTCTGGAAGCTCTCCTATACAATTTTTATAATATAAAAATTGTGTAATATATTGCTAAAATTGAAAGTCCATTTAAACAGATATGATAAATCGATATACCAAAGTATCTCTTTTCTCTTGGTGCTACTCATATAATCATTATATGATTTTTATAAACAATTTATAATACCAAATATTTAAATACATGTATCTTAATAAATATTTAACCAATTTTAATAATTTTACTACTGTTAAAATTAAAAAGACCTGTTCTATATTTTTATTAAAAATTTAAACCAATTTACTTAATAAAATTTTCTTTAATTTTAAAAGAAAAAAATTACTATTAGTTTTATATATAATTTGCAAACAGTATTCTCTATTCTTAACAAGCCAAAATTATTAAAATGCAATTACAAGATTATAAAATAGATAATATTTTGTGTTATTTTATATATATTTAAATATTACAAAAATTATCTATCTTGTAATTTTGTAAGTGGATTTTAATAATTTTGAACTTGTTAGAATTTTCTTTTTGAGAAGATCATTTTGGTAATTAAATTATTCAAATTGGTTAGTGCTACAAATTAACAAAAATTTTCCAATTGATTAGTTAACAACCCATTTTACCCAACTAATCGATTAATCAATTTTATTTCAACTAATCGATTAGTTGACTAATCGATTAGTTAACTAATCAACTAATCAATTAGTTGACTAATTGATTAGTTGATTAATTGATTAGTTGACCAATCGATTAGTCAATTAATCAACTAATCAATTGATTAACTAATTGACTTTGTGCATCCAAAGTATATACTAGGATAATAATTTTTTGCTATTAGAAAAGATTTGTAAATAAATATATATTATTTATATTATATATAACTATAATGATATTATAATCAATTAATCAATCGATTAAATTATAATTAGTTGACTAATCGATTAGTTGACCAATTGACTAATTGATTAATCAACTAATCGATTAAGTTAGTTTAGTAAAATGGAATCAATTAGTTGTTAACTTGATTAACTAATTGATTTTTTAACTTTTGATTTGTAGCACTAAAATTGGTTTAATAAATCAAAAGTTATATAAATTTAAAAATTTTTATTAATTAATACTATTTAAAATTTTTATACAATTTGATTGGCTAATAAAGTATCAGATGTGGGTAGATAGAAATGAAATTTTGAAATTTATTAATAACAAAATACTATGTAATTTTTAGAAGCTCTCTTGATATTTAAAAAATAACTATAGAATAGTAGTACCCAAAAAGGTGGCATAAGATACAAATATAGTATAGCAGGTTAGGGGCATTCATAAATAACATTATGTACCCCTACATAGTAGCTTTTGACCCCCTAGACTATATAAAAATTTTTTAAAAATCTATATATTTATATATATAATTTTACAAAAACTTGAATATATTATGAACTAGTAATCCAATCAGAATAATTTTGGTACCATTCGAATTGTCTCAAGGAGAGGATTTGAATGGTATCAAAATCATTTCATTTGAAACACTGGATAATGTTTTATTAATGAAATACTATTAATTTTATAGTAATTTTATAAAAAAAATATAATAACCAATAGTATTCCGTTAATAAAACATGATCCAGTAATCCAAATCAAATTATTTTGGCACCATTTGACTTCTCTCCTCAAGACGATTCGAATGGTACCAAAATCATCCAATTTGAACCACTGGATCAAATTTTAGACAAATTTTTATAAAAAAATTGCATTATGTTTTGGGGACCCCCTCTAAATATTGAAAAATCATTATATTTTGGGGACCTCCTCCCCCAAACATAACGTTATTTATGGATGCCCCCTTAATATGTGCTAATTAGGAAGAAGTTGTAGAAACATGCAAGTAAATACATGTATGAAACATATATCACTTTGTTGAGTTTATCTTAAAGATAAAAATACCAGAAATAATTAATAGGTTTTAAGGCATAGGATGTAAAATTTTGTTAGGTAGATGCAAATCCAATATATGTATAATGAATAATACTTATAGATTAAGAGGTTGGCTACAGTAGTTGAAACCAAAGGGTTTAAATAAACAATCTCTATAATTAGATGCAAATAGTGAGAACCCCTAGTATAGCACTAATGCTTTAAGCAAACTAGTTAAATTAGGCATCAAAGATGCATATATAGCTTGATATATCCTCATTATAACTATATATAAAATATTATCTATATCTTAGTAAAAAGCATTAAGGCTAGCGAAGTTAAGGGTTAAGCCTACATAAAATTTGCTTTCTGGATTACAAACCAGAATAAAAAATTCTTACTGAAATACCAAATTGAGTTGCCAAAATAATTTGATTGATCTGGTTAACCTAGTTAAAATATAACAGATAAGCATATGAAAATATGCATAATACTATAAATATACAAGTTGGATTAGCATTTCTAATAATACACTCAATATTAAATCAACTCTTATATATTTAAAAAATTTATATATATATAACGATAAGTTTTTAGAATACAAATATTTATATTTAAGAGTAAATTACAATTAAAGAGTATAAAACTCATAGTAGAAATCAGCAAAAAAATATTATTGCTATTACTTTTATATAATAGTAGAATGTGAAGTTTTTGATAATAATAGTTAAGTAAAAATTTTTTAGTTATAAAAAAAAAACTATTAATACTTTGTGATTTACTAACATACTTCAATAACTTTTCCATTATTGAAGCCAAAAAACCTTTTATATAAATTTTGTTAGAAATAAAAGAAAAGTTTAACTTTTGACAATTTTTGCTATAAAATATTCTATTTTTTATATACTTCAATTGTGTTTTACTTCTTAAAATTCTAGTTTTTGCTACTGTTATGTGATACTAATTAAATTATTATTTCTTTTTAAAAACAATATTTCAGAAATAGTTTCTGGACTTAGAGAAGATCACATTGAAGTTACCTGGTTTCTAGCATCTGAAAACAAGTGTTTACTTGAAACTAAGATGGCTGGAATAGCTAAGTATTTTTTTGCTAATCTACTTAAACTTGAAAATTTCTTTTTATATTCTTTCTACTATACTAAAGATTAAATTTGTTTGGAGGCAATAGTAACTTTATTAATATCCAAGTATTTGTTTAGCTCATTAGTTAACAAATTATTATCATCATCTTCATTATCAGCATCATAAATTGATGCAAAATACTGATTAGCTGAAATGTTGAGTATAGCAATTGCTTGTACTAAAATTTCACCAGCTATAGTATTAAGTTTTTTATAACATGTTCTAATAGTTTCTTCACATATATAACTAGCCTAAGGATGCATTTTTTTAAGTCTTGGGTCTAGTAAGGTTGCTAAAAGACCTGTATAATTTGGGTCACCCAATACTCCCAGAGTGAATTATAAATACTTTGATTGATTTGGGCAATGACTGAATGAATATCAAATGTTTTTTGTAAGTTAGTAACATTTTTATTTTTGCTATCATTGTCTATATCTGATTTTAAAAAATATTATTTTTATATTACTTGTTAATAAATATATGTTATAAATATATAGCAAATTTAATTATTATTTCAATAGGCAAAATTCAAATAGTAAAAAAAAATAAAATTGGTTTCGACTTTGTTAACTTTAGTTTAATATAAGAAATTATTAAAAGGTTGTATATTATTTATACTATTTTAATACTATATATATTTTATAAATAATTTTTATTTACCATCTTTTTTATCAATCCTATCTTTAATCAATAGTAAATTTGGATCTGTTGCAAATTTAAACTTTAGAACTTCAATAATAGAATAGATGACTAATAAAGTAGGATAATTCTCGGCACTAAATTCTTTAGTTGTGTAATCAAAAGGTTCAAAAATTTTAATTAACTCTTTAACTAATTTCTATACATCCTTATTAGGTAAAAAACTTTTAAGTTTTTACTATCTTTTTTATCTTTCAAATTTTGTGAAATTTTTAAATTTGCCTCTAACCAAATAATAGCATCTTTTAATCTTAATAGTTTTTTCCAAGAGTAATATTCCGAATTCTATCTGGTAGGACAATCTTTAATTAAATAAAGAGTTTTAGAAATAGTATTTACAATTGTTGGTTGTTCTAAATCTGTATTATTCCTATCATCGATTTCTCCAGACTCTTTACCTTCAAGATATGATTCAATATTTGTTAATTGAGATAAAGGCAATTTATCTCTTTCTATTACTCTAATTTGTACTTTTTCTAATTTTTCTTGCTGTTTTGGTGAACCAAAAAAATGAACAAGTTTTTTTTTTTTATATGTAAATTAATCTTTTTTAGGGCATAATTAACTGTTAGCTATAAGATGTATATAGCATATGGAATTCGGGTAGCAGTATTCCATAAACGAATAGCTTTTGCTATATTGGCACTGCTGTTGGTAACAGTATATATAATTTTATTTTTGTTTAAATTTGGTGCTTTTTTTAAAAAAAATTGATAAATTGATTCTGCAGTATGTGATATTCCATTTTTTCATAATATAACAATACACTACACAATGACCAATCAGAAGTTATCCAATGACAAGTAACACCAATATAATCTTTATTTTTACAGGATATCCACAAATCAGCAATAATTGTAGCAGTTTTACAAGATGTTTGAATTTTTTGCTAAAGAAATTCAATATTTCTTAAATAACTAAACTCCATTTCGCTTTTTATAAATCTATTAGAAGATAGATAAAACTTTGAATTAATTTTTGATATCATTCGACAGAATCCTTTTTTTCTTGGCGCTGATAACAGTTCATCATTAAAAAATATCTATTCAATTATGGGTTTGACTATTTCTTTTCTTTTAACACCTTTATATAGAGTATTAGCTTTGAATATATTAGGTAAAGTAATTTGTTGAATTTGTTGAATTTCTGATTTAAGTCTTTTGTTATCAATAATATTATATTGTACGTATAGATGAGAAATCATATTTGATGTTGATTTATTATACAAATATTTTTGTTTATATTTTTTGTCTTTTCTAATTTCTATTTGACATATATCTTCATTTCCAATTACTTTAAAATATTTCTATACGAAACTTGATTTATTTCTACCTTTTTTTTTTTTAGAGCTAATAAATTTGGCTGTTGAAGGTGTATTGGTATTATTAGTTTTACTATTATTTTGATCTGTATATGTTGTTTTATAAAAACTTGAGCTAGACTCTTCCTGAGAATTCATTTTTGGTTAAATATATAATTAGCAAAAGAAAAGAGATATTATGAATATATTATAGTCAAAAGAAAGAATTAACTAGCAAAAAACAAGAATGTGGATTTTAAGAAATAACTTTTATTATATAATAAGTATAGAAAACATTTAAAATTTGCCTCTACAAGAACTTTTTATATGTCTTTTTATATAAATTACAACTACTAATGCCTAACTTCTATTCTCTAGATTATTATGCAGATATAAAGCTATTTACTATTATGTTATTAATATAACAATTATACATGCCGCACAAACTACAAATCTTTAAAATCCCACTCAAACCCAAATCCCATGTGGAAAAATCCCAAAT